TATACACGGCAAGTGTAAAGAGGAATCATGGGGTTTCCTCTAGATAAGGAGGCAAGTTATGGGTAAATAAAGGTGGTTGAAGCCAACATGAATTACAATTAATGCAGCAAATAATTACTACCCAAGTTTAGAAGACAAAAAAAAAAACAAAAAAACAAAAAAACATGGTCCAAGATAGGAACTCAGCCCCCTTTTTGGTAGTGCCGGGGAATGAACCCTGGGCTTTAGCACATGCCAGGCAAGCACTTGCCACTGAGCTACATCCCCACCACATAAAAACAAAAAAAAGCATCCCTTAAGTTTCAGAATAGATGAGTTCAAGTTGGAGCTAAAAAGATAAAGCGTTCAGGAATAGAAGATGGAAAAAGTATTCTAAAACAGAGGTCCTCAAAGCATGGTCTGAAGCTCTCTCAGTGTGGTCCCCTTAGGTATTTTCCAGAGTCCAAGAGATCAAAATTGTTTTCATAACACTAGGACCTGACTCGTCCTTTGAGCCACCATGATATAGAACTTTTCACAGGCTACATATGTGATATCAACGTACTTGCAAAGCCAGAGCAATGACTCTTCTCAATTTTTTCAAGTTGTTTTTCATACAAATGTTACATTTGTTATTGTGTAATGGGAGTTATCATTAGATGAATTAACATTTAAAAACCTAGTTCTAATTTGAAAAATATCAATAGACAGATATAACCCAACTAAACAAAAACTCTGTGGGGTTTTCAACAATTGAAGAGTGTAAGGAATGCTCTCCCTCTGCTTGGACACTGCTATTCTCCAGGAGCCAGCATAACCAGGTGAGTGTGCCAGTCCTGCTTTGCAGGCAAACACACACACTGTGTGAAGGAAGGGTTTTCTCCTGCAGCAGCTCAGCAGGGGGACTGTCCTCCTGGAGACAGCAATGCCTAGATGCATTTTTGCCTGCTACTGACACCTAGTGGGTAAGCCAGGAGACTGTGAACCTTCAACAAAACACAGAACCCCAGGATGGTCCCACATGTCCAGTGTAGACACTGAGACCCTTTGTCTGGAGCTGTGGTGATCCCACAGGGCACTGGGTGTCTACCAGCTGTGCAGCTTATACATGAACAGGAGCAGAAGCCAGGGCTCACAGTAGATCCAACTGCTTCTTGGAGGTCCCAAGGGCAGCAAGCTCAGGGCAGAACCTCCTAACTCCCAAGCTCTACACTTGCACTGATGATCCACTGCATAGCCTCTACCTTCCTACATACTTGGGCTCTGGGCAAGAATGGTGGGAGGCTGGGAAGATCGAACCTAGGCATGACAATTAGGAGTGGGGAATTCCATTCCTACATAATTATTACACAGGACTCTCAAAAGGGATTTTTCAAGTACTAAGAGGACTTCTTTTGGTCCTCTCCGGATTTCAGTTGAGAGTTGTATGGAAAAATGCTGGAAAGAGTGATGGAAATGAGGTACAGGAGACCCCAGTGGAAGCCTGAAGCTCAGGACCCAGTCTACAGATGGTGGCTTTGGTTTTTCATGGAGGGGAATCTCCCTGGAGGCAGCTACACCACCATACCACTTTCCCCAAATGACTCTTACGGCCTTCATCTCACAACTCAAGAGAAAACTCCTGCTACAGAAGCAATGAAGGGAAAGTCAAAAAGCATTCTGAAAAGATACATAACATGTAATGGGTATATTATTAGTTAACAAATTTTAAAATTTCAATTTTAATTTATAAAATTAAAATTACTACCTAGAACCATATAACCTCAGGCAAGTCTGACTCCCTATCTCTGGAAAGCCAGGGTGTGGTGGCAATGGAATGTAAAAAGCACAAATTATACAGAGAAAGAAGTCATTCCGAAAGGTAAGTGTCCAAATAAGCTCCCTGGTTGGAAAGGACTGTTCAGACAAGCAAAACACATGACCAGGGGACAGTACCAAACCACCTTTAGTGAGCAGAAAGCAAAGTACTTCAGAAAAAGCATTAACACTTCTGAAAATGCAACTCTGGACCCAGTATACAAATGAAAAAACAAAACAATGCAGCAACAACATCCTCTGGTCTGACCCTATAAAATGAACTTGAGGATCTCAGAGCAATTTCTGAAGATTCGATATGTTCATAAAATGTGCCTAGTCATGCTTTTCTTGAGGCAAATGTTCCTGAGATCAGCTGCTCAAAAACATGTTCCCTCTGTCTATATCCACAACATTTTCCAACTTCAAGTGACCAAGGAACACAGTTATGGCCCCATTCCTTAAAGGTGTGCTATAAAATAAACCAAGAGCAAGTGCAAGACAGAAACTTTTATTTCCAGAAATTGTGGATAAGTAACAAGTCAAATTTAAACATTCTATTGAAAGATGGGCAGGGAGAGGGATATACCAATGTCACTTAAGTAGAAATTTCTACAATGAGCAAAAGTTGCTCAGAAGCCAGTATGACCTTTAATGTTTTGTCACCCTGAAAGATATATCCTGCTGTACATCTTGTCAGAGGAATTTCTGAAGAAAAGCAAAACCTACTCAACTGGGTCACAAAAGTTAAGCAGTGTCACTTACGGCATTTTTTTTTTTTTTCTAACCCCCAGGCTGAAATACTGTCACTGTCCTACTCTATTCTCTCTCCCACACTTCATCTTATGAAACACCCATGCCATCTAATGTTCTCTTGTTCTAACCAAAAGGCCTTCTGCAACATAAGCCAGGTGTTACCTGGTCTGCTGTGAGACTAGAAGACAGCCAGCCAGGATTCCAAAGCACAAGGACGCTTTACATACTAGAGGTAGCATATTAAGTCAGCCACAGGCCAAGATCTTGGAATATTTTCTCTGCTGGAAATATTTCCCAAACCTGGCTGGTCTGCCCTAGAAGGGGACTCTTGCATGTGCCTCCAGGAGTGCTTGTGAAGGTGATGTGATATCAGAAAGGCTTGAAAAGCAACATGGGAATATCAAACCTATTTAAATTGTTCTGGTTAAAATATTCAAATCCATAGTAACACTGAGAGACATAAGAGGAGAAATGTGTGCAGAAATGGTTCAATTCACCTGCATGAGTCAATCATATTTGGTAAGTGGGTGGAACTAGAAGTGAAGCAGTGAGCTGAGGGGGGGAAGCAACAATCAAACAGAGTCAACTCAAAGTTCACATGAACTGAAGAGCCTCAGTTTGTACTCCTGCAAGATAACGACACAGTGTCATGCTTAATGTGCCATGCTGCCTCTGGTCTCCTTATGAGGAAGTAGTGAAGGACCCAATATTTCAGTGTTTTTCAGTGGTAATTTCAACTCTGTGGCTCCAGCTCCTAGACAGTAGCACTAGAAAAAATACAAAAAGACAAGTGGGGCATCACACTCAGACACTGCAGGCCACTCTAGTCTACTCAACTGACAGCCCCAAAACCCAGTTCATCTCACAAACACACACAGTAGCAGTTTTGGCATCTCTGAATTGCTGATGGATTTTTCAGGTTCAAACTTAACATTATTCATTTTTATAGCCAAGTTCTTTCCACTAAAATGGGAATAAAATAAATGTGCAGATTGATATTTCTTTGTGATCCTAACAGCAAGGGAAGACAGGTATATTAGCAAGAAAGATTTAGGGAACAGTAGGAAGTCTTAGCAGTTTTAATGAAAGCAACACACTGAAAAAGAAAGCATGCTACATGCACCCCTGCAGAGCAACTATATGATCTACACTCTAATAAGGGTGGCACAGGAAGTAAGCAAGTCAAATCCAAGCAGGCCACAGTAAAACTTGATTGCTGTAAAGAAAGGCTAGGGAAAGACTGGCACAAATAATCCGAACTATTGGTACTTAAGGAACATTTTCCAGTTCTACTATTTGCTCTAGGCAGGGCAACAGATTTGCTAGAATGAACCACCTGCTGCTGAGGAGGGAGGCTTAGCATATACCAAATGACAGAGAAAAGATAACCTGGGGCTAAAAAAAAGTCTACTGTACTTCCCAGGCAGAACTTAACTACTAATTTAGTTTACAGGAAAGGGTCTGATGCTCACAAAGTTAATGTCATCTACGCTAAGACCAGGGACCTCCATGATCCAGGCCTGCAGAACTGACACTACGCATGCATTCAAAAGGACCTACCAGCTCTGTCTGGGCCTATATGTCTCTTGGACCCTTGGCCCTAGGTGTTCTAGTTCCTGACAATTAGTCACAAGGAAGAAAAGGCAAAGGAAAGTGGTGACTCTGAAAATCCTCTCAAGGCACAACCATGTCAAGGAACACAGACTTCAGCAGGTAGACATAAAGGTTCCAACTCTTAAATGGGACCAAAGACCATAAGCCAAAAAAAAAAAAAAAAAAAAAAGTCAACTCACCAAAAAAGGTGGGGGAGGGAGGAGAGGAGAAATACAAGAATCTACAAAAATACCCAAACTAGGTATATAAAAAATACCACTGCTACTGGGTTGAAAAAAGCTAAGCAACCAGCCAACAACAGAAAAAGGAAGCTTTCCCAGAACACCAGGAGCAGAGACTGCACCAAGAAGAACAAGGGTGACAGAAACCCCTCAGAAAGCCACCTGGCAGCTTGCAAAGGTGGAGGGCGGGTAGGGGGGATCCCCAAGGCCAAAAGGAATTCCAGTCAAAGGCACCCCCTTCACAGGAGGGCTGCTAGGGTCGAGGTGGAAAATGAACTAAAAAATACCAGTTCCACAGATAAACAACTTTTGTTGAAAACCCTGGTTTTTATTATGCTCGGTTTTTTTTTTTTTTTTTTTGGGGGGGGGGGTAATACTTCAAATTGAACCCAAGGGTCCTACTGAACCACTGAGCTACATTCCCACCCCTTATTTATTTATTTATTTATTTTGGAGACAGGATACACTAATTTACGGAGGCTGGCCTTGACTTGCAATCTTGCCTCAGTCCCCCACCCCAGCCCCTGGATCAGGGATTATAAGTGTGTGCCATGGCAGGAGGCTCACCCCCAGTTTTCATATTTTAAATTAAAAGCTGTTCACGAAAAACTCAAGTGAATATCTGAAGACCATTACCTCTGATTCTACTGTGTCTTGTCCTTCTTTTGAACTTTTCCCACTCTTCCCTGGTTTTGGTGGTTCCTGGGAAACATCAAACAAAAGCAATTAATTTTCTCAATCTTTAGACTGTTAAACATCAGATAAACTACATGCAGTTTCAAAACTGATTTATATAATTTAACCAGAGGTTCTGGTGGTTTTAACCCACACCGTCAGGAAATTTACGTCATACTGTTTAAAGATACAGTACTGCGATACTACACCCCACCCACCCAAATTCGGATTCTCTGGTTTCCTTCGTCAGTATTCGGGTTGAAAACTTTAAGCAGCGACAGAGAAGCCCAAGTCCATCCAGTGCTCCTGGCGTTTCCAAAGGACCACCTCGCAGCCCTTTCGTGCCCACCCGCACCTGGGAGCGAGGATTTCTGGGGCCACCCTGACACGCTCCAGCTCCACCTGAGGCAGCGCACCCAGGCCGCCGAGAGCGCAAGGCGCCGCGCCAGCAGCGCGAGCCGAGCCCCGGAGCCCAGCCCGGAGCCCCGCCGTCGCTCCCGCGCACGCAGTTCTGCAGGCGTCGCGGGTCCGCTCCGCTCGCCGCCCGGCTCGGCGTCCCTCCCGGCCGCGAGGCTGGCGGCCGGCCCGCCGCACCTGCGCCCCCGACTGCCCGCCCCCCGCGCCGCGGCCCGTCCCGGCGGCCCCGGCCCCACTCACTTTCTCCTTCTTGGTTTTATTCGGCATGGCTAGTGCGGGCCGCCGCCACCGCTCCTGCCCCTGCCGCCGCCTGACCCCGCCGCAGCAGCGCCCCCGCCCCGGCCGTCGCGCCGCCCCGGCTGCCGCCGCCGCCACTGCCGCCGCCGCCGCCCGGGGACTGAGTCGTTTGCTCGCTCTCGCTTCCCCTTTTCCAGGCTCTCAGAGGCTGCGGCAGCCGCGGCGGCGGCGGCGGCTGCGGCGGCAGCGGCGGCGGCGTCTCTCCGCCCCTCCCCCGGCCCGCCCCGGCCCGCCCCGGCCCGCCCCGGCCCGTCAGGCGCCGCCTCAAGCCCCGCCCCGCCGCCCTCAACGGCGCCCTGCCATTGGGCGATGCGCCCTCACGTGCCCTAACGCTCTGCCGCGCCGTCCCGCCCCCTGCGCGGCCTATCCCCGCCCCCTTCGCACCGCTCGGCTAGCGTCAGGCTCTGGGGGGCCGGGGTCTGAGGTGGGCCGGCGGCTTGGGGAACTCGGCGGGGACTGGGGGTGCTGCAGCTACTGTGGTGACTGGTGACAGGGCCGTTGCCGGCTGTGAAGGTGCCGGACCGAGAGAGCCGGGGACGAGCGAGGCATGGAAATTGTACGTTTGAAATGTGTGACAATAATTTCTGCAGCCGGAGGGGCGCGAACGGCGGCCTTCCGGCCTCGTCCCTCCGGCTCTTGCAAAACGAGGGGGTCCCCACGCGGTACACGTGGGTGACCGAGGAAGTCCGGGAGCGGCGGTTTCGCAGGGCCTCTCCAGGCCCCGCCCACCTGGCCAGCCCCACCCACCCTTCCCTCGCTGGCTCCGCCCGCAAACTGGGCGGTGCTGTTCCAAGGGGGTTTATTTCTTTCTTTCTTTTTTTTTTTTTTTGCTGTGGTTCTATCTTAAGGCGCGTGAGAAAATTTCTGCACGATGACCAGGAGCCACTTAATTTCTCTTGCCTCACTAATAGACCCGGGGAGATGAATTTTTCAAGGGAAAAAACTTAACTTTTTACTACACTTCTTCCGCAGTCCGGTTGGAGCCCCCAAGCAATTTGGAGGTGTTAATGATAGATATCCGAGATTTCGGAAATGCATTAGGTAGGAAGATTGGGAGTGAACGGATTTCAAGCGTGAAAGGCATTGGGGGCTTTGAACATTAAGGAGCAGCATCTTGACTGGGCACTTACAAATCCTCTCAGCCCCCGTTTTGTTCCTGAAAGTTGCCAAGCAAAGCATTTTTAGATGTTCTCTGTTGCCCTACAACAGAAAAGTGAAAAGAAGAAAAAAAGGAAAAGATCTAAAATGAGGGCTGTTGTGGGGGGTTCTGAGATTAATTGTTGCCTGCAGGTGCCTCTGTGCTCGCAGAGGACTGTCTGCAGGTAAGCAGAAGAGTCCCAAACAGCTATCTCTGGAAAAGAAACTGCTCTTTAATAGTTTCCCCAAAATAAATAGCTAAAAACGTGAGAGGCTAGAACATTGTCTGTAGTTAATTTAATGACATTTTGAAAATAAAACACTATCATAAATCCATATCAATAGGAGTAACTAAAATTATTGGGTTTTGACTGCTGAACTCTAAGGAGGCTTGAGGGGTTCTCCAAGATAAGTCTGTGCCACTAACATCCTTGTATCACAGCCTCTGATCCAGTTTTGCACATCATTCTTGGATTTAACAGACAGTTTTTGGATATCCACCATGTGTAAAGCACGATGCAAGAGGTTCTACACTATTCTTGTTCTCTGGCAATTCACATGCTTGGATGGAAACAAGAAAACCCTCTCAGAAGTCTTGACATATGTCAAGTCTTCAAGGACTGGAGTGAGGGTGACCGAACTTGGAAGCATGAAGGAATACTGCACAGGATGTTTTCTTGTGGCCAGAGAGGAGATGTATGTACAAAGGCTCTGGATTGAGACTTGATTCGGCTTGCCAAAGCATTGGATTTGTTTCTGAATGCAATGTAGGGTTGCTGATCTCCTAAATAATTAAATTGGAGAGTGATGTGTGGTGTGCTCACAATTGCACTTTAGGAGGCATCTGTGGTGGGAGTGTGGGAAGGAGCTTAGAGTTGGCGAAGTCAGGAGGCAAAGAGCCCACAGGAGGCAGGAACTGTCCAGGTGTGAGTCTCATCCTCTGCAGTGACAGGAGGCAGGCTTACAGATGCCCAGGATGTGGCTGAGGCAGTAGAGGTAGGGTGACAGATAAAAGAGTAGAGCTGTGTTTTCCATTTGCATAACAGTGATGAGGGGATGCAAATAGAGAGCAAGCTGTGAGAGAACATGGTGATTTGGGTTTGGGACATGTTGAGTTTGAACTATGTGTGCAAAATACTGAGGGTCCAAGTGGCAGTTGGAAACAAAGCAGAGAGGTCTAGCTGCTTGTCAAGTTGGGTATTTGTCAGGTCAATTTTGAGTTCCAGGGAAAGCATAGCAATAATAGAAAAGCTGCCTAGTTACACCCAGTGACCTTGAAACCATAGTAACTGGAGAAATCTGACTCAACACTGTCACCTGACACACGTGTCAGTGGCACACTGAACTGGTTTTCATGGGCCCACATTAGAGGGTGCAATTCCATGACCAATATTAACTGAGAGTTTTTGGCCACTCACAGAGGATCCTGGGTATTGTGCAGTGTACTGCATATTGTGGCCTTCACAGGAACGCCAATGATAGATGTTGTTCCTGCTCTCAAAAGACGGGTTCAGAATAGGCTATCACCAGGGGATACAGCGACAGTGTGAATGTGTGTGCGTGCGTGTGTGCACATGTGTGTGTAAGGGTGTGAGTGTGCCTGAGTGGCACCTCTTCCAGGTCAGCCCCACTTTTCTATGTTCATAAAGGCATATCCCATATCACACAAAACTCCTTTTCTTCAGGCCCCCACCTTTCAGGGACACTTCAAGGAGGAGCCAGGTAACCTGGGTGTACTTTGTCCATGACCAGCTACTACAGGAGGAGATAAATGGTGGATGGTTTCACTTACACCCCCAATATCCCTCTGGAGGGTCAGAGAGGTTCCCAGGTGACCCCCCCCTGTCAGGCAAGGACCTGCAGAGTCCTGCGCACACTGGGGAGCAGGGGCAGTGCAGAGCAGGAGGAGGGTTGACCCCTGCCCACACTCAGCTGTGCTGGCCTCCCATCCTGCTTGTCTGCTCAGGTGCTGGTCCTGCACCTGACCTGCTGCAGGTTTGCTGCCTCTAAGGTGGTGTGAAGCTGTGTTGCCTCACCTGCTGCAGCGGTAACCTTACTGCCCCAGGAAGTCACTTCTTGTGGGGCTTCCTTCATGTCATTGCTGCCCAGCCAGGTGCTCTGGATGTCAAAGCAATCTTGCATACTTGGATTTCTCTGTGTGTGTGTGTGTGTGTGTGTGTGTGTTGTTTTGTTTTGTACTGGGGATTGAACCCCGTGTGCTTTACCACTGAGCTGCCTCTCCAGCCCTTTTTATTTTTTAGACGGACTATCACTAAGTTGCTGAGGCTGTCCTTGAACTTGTCCTCCTGCCTCAGCCCCTAAGTTGCTGGGATTACAGGCCAGGGCCAACATGCCTGGGACATGCTTAGATTTCTGGCTGAGCTTCCTAGGGGCAGTGTTCGGGTCTTTGTTACCCATGTACTCAGCTTTGGGGGAAACTGAGTCTGCTGCTTATTGTGGTTTGACCCCATGTCTGAGATATGTTCTGTAACCTTACGCCACCTTTCTTTGTGCTATTGTCTCCCCCAGCCTTGTCCACGTCACCAGCCCCAGTATCCAGACCCTCCTCACCCTTCCAAGCCAGGGACCGTCTGTATTGAACAGTTACTTCTCTAAGGCTGAAAGGAAAACAAGGAGTCAGGCGAGTGAGAAATGAAAGACAGAGACCAGGCAGAGATGCATACAAGAATTTATTTGTCAGAGCTGACAAATAAAGGCTATGTCTCCATAGATGGAGAGAGGCAATACAGGCTTGGGTTCCAGACTTTTCAGGGATTAGAGCCCAGTGGGTCCTAATGTGGGTGGATAAGGGTGGGGTTGGTATGAGGGAGTAGTGAGCCTTTCTCAGAAACATCAGAACCGTCCTTGGGCGGAAAGCAAAACTTTTTCTTAAGTTGGTGGCTATCACTTAAGATGGCTATCCAGATGCTAAGCAAGGACCAAACTAGAAGTTCAACCCCTGCCTTGTGCTCACTTCATTTCCACTGAAATGTCATTCATAATCATTTTTTTATTGAGTTTGGATCTATGAATTCACACACCCAACTCCTTCCACTACAAAGTTGCTTGCAGATTTGGGGCAGAGGGGTGGGGAGTAGATACAAGTGGGATTACTTTTAAATTAATTATCCACACATACAGACTGTGGATCCCAGTGCCAGGCACCTATCAAGCTCTCAGTAAATCCAGTTGCCAACAAGAGCACAGTGATTTGACATGAGGTGCCTTTGGGTTCTGAGGACTCCAAGGAAAACCCAAAAGCCATACCTTTAAGGCCCAAGGGTACCCAGAGAGCTCTGTTAGGCTAAGCAAGTCTTCTGCTTGGCTCCTGAGGAGCTTCTGTGGACACCAAGGACCAGTCAGCCCCATGGCTGGGTATAGATACCCTCTGGCCTTGTGGTAACACGTGCAGGCTACTTACTAACCCTGTGAACACCAAATGGGAGAATCCATAAACTTCTAAAAATTGTAAGTTTCATGAAATGTTCTAGAAACTAATAAAATTTTATCTCCAAGAATTGAAGAAAAATGGGCAACAACACACAAATAATTCATTTTTAGATAAATAGGGTGAAATACAATCCCTTTCTTCTTTCCTCACAAATCCCTAAGTCCAGCAGAGGAGATAAGAAGGTACGGAAATAACCCGAGGTGGAGACAGAATACCTTAAGAGCATTAGAGACCCAGATCTGGAGGTTTCAGGGAGAGGCAGGCACACTCCAACGTGGGCGGTGCCAGTGTGCTGCGAGGAGAGGCTTTGATAAAGAGCCACAGTGTGTTCAAGCCTCGGATTTTAGTTCTTGTCCTAAGTTTGGGGTTGTTGGTTTTGACAGGCAGGGAACAGATGGCACCATCAATGGGGGTTAATTGGAAATAATTTAAAAAGTGGTGTGTGTTTGGAGACAGGCAAGGGTCAGAGAGAGAGAGA